CCATGTCGCCAACAAAGATGTTAAACAGTGTTAAATAGTCCCAAGACTATTTAAAACTAGTTACTATCCTGCCTTGATATATTTAGCTATCTGAATGCTCAAATCTTTTTTCCTTTTATTTAACTGCTACAGTCTTGACTTTTAGTATCTTGTGAGAATAAATTCTGCAGGTTATACGGACCCTGTGAAAGTGGCTCCTTTCTGCTTTTGGCTTCCATCCCTTGTCTTATAAAGTAAGGGGAAAAAAAAGTGAAGAACTCTGCTTCCTTATTCTTTCTCTTGCTTATACCTTCCACATCTCCTACCTGCCGCTTCTTTTTGGTGAAGTTATAGGAGATGAAAGTGCCTAAATACTCTTTTAATGCAAGGTCATTTAAGAGACAACTGTTCCTATACAAAACCTCTTACTGCATATTAAATATGTTAGGGCCCAGCATTTATCTGGATTTATTGGAGAAAGACTAGTTAACAGTACACCTAGACCAGCTCCTATTTGATATTAATTACTTTAATGCAAGGAGGTCCTTTCTTTACCACAACATATGCATTTTGCTAATTGTTTTCCTAATTCCATCAAACAGCAATTTCAAGGTTTCTGATCTTTGCCCTTCTCGCTGATGGCAGTAGTTTCTTTAATGCCAACAGGATTATCTGCCTAACTGGCAGCAGCACTGATGTATGGCAGTGAGCAGTAACATGTTGAAATGCAAAGCTGCACAGAAGCAGCGGGAGGTGAGAGCAAGGCTTCCCAAACTTGTGAACTGGGTAAGAAATTTGTATTAAGATTTAGCAAGTGTTCAGGTATGTCCTTTTTAACCTCCTCAGCTCAATCAACACTTTGGTGTTATACTTACTACCTTCCCCATTGCTTTGGTTTGTAAGATGGCCAAGGGTGAGATCTCAGCCAGAGCTTGCTCTGCCTTTCCTCTCCTGAGCCCACCGGGCTGCCTGAGAGCGCTCCAGCAGCAGGGACTGGTCCTGATGGACATGCTCCCAAATGTGCCATCACCACCAGTCCAGAGATGGAGAGGAAATCCAAGCTGACCCTCCACACAGGCCTGCGAGCCAACTGGGAGCCACGTGGCAGCTTAGGAGGAAGCAGGCACCAAGCAAGCAGAAATACCGTGCCCAGGAAAGGCTGCAGCTTTGGTCACGGTCCCTGTGCTGTGAGTTTGCACCAGCCTCTGCCTAATGTTACCAGAAGGCATATTAAAGGCAGGATACATACGTTTACAGTAGCTAAACATGATTGTATACACACAGCCCTTGTCTAATGCACAGTGTCTTGTTTTTAAACAAACATATATACTGGCGAAGGGGCAGAGGGGAGGAGAGCAGAAAGAGAAGAATCAATTTCTTCTTTCTCAATCTGTTTTTCAGTGAACATTAAGCAAGCCTCACGCCTCAAAGAGCCTCAGGAGTTCTGGGTGGATTCACACACAAAGGTCTTGGTGCCTATGTTGTCAGTCACGGGGACTTTAAAGTACAAAACTGATGCCAGTGGGACTTTTTCTGTGATGGAAGTGCCCATCAGCAAGACCGCGCTGCTGGTGCTGCTGCAGCCCATCAATGGCAGCGACCTGGAGCGTGTGGAGACCGAGCTGCCTCTGCAGTCCTCGGCCTGGCTTCAGCAGCTGTCCCCAAGGTAGGGATCAGGCACGCCTGCCCTCCCGTAGGGATGAATGAAACAGGGTGCGCCGTGCGGGCCTGCCGCTGCCTGCTCGCTGACCGGGGTCACGTCCTGCCGGGGGGGCTTAACACCAAGCACGGAGAGAAACACATGCAAATCCCTGGGACCTCACCCCGAGGGAGCCTGACTGTGGTGGGATTGGCTTTCGATTTGCGGGTTTTTCAGGGAAATCAGCAAGTCCCTTCCCATAGCTGACAATGCAGGACCCACATAGTGGGATCATTTGGGACTTAACGGCATACCCTGGGGCAGATTTTGGGAGACTTCCCACTTGGAAGCAGTAACACACCACCAGTCAGCCGTCGGTAGCTGGCTGTCCCCATACCCAGCACCACCTCTAGAGGCTGTTTTCACATGCCCGTTCCCCAGGACTGCCCTAACACCACGCTTTCATACCAGAGAGCACACGCTCACTCACCTCTCTCTCTCTTTCCTGCAGAGAAATTAAATTAATGCTGCCAGAGTTAACAATAGAAGGCAGCTCCGATCTACAGGAGCTTCTTGCAGATATGGAGCTGCCTGCACTGCTGGGGAAGGGGGCAGATCTCAGCAAAATAAGCGACGCCAGTCTAAGAATTGGAAAGGTACAGTATACATGACTAGCATTTAAAAAAAAGTCTCCTGCTCAGTTTCAGCCTCCTGTACAAATTGACCTAGAACAAACCAGTCAGAGCCATGTGAGACACATGCTAGTAAGGAACCTTCCAGATGACTGAGTGATAGTGAATACTTAGGAACAGGTTTGCTTTAAACTATTCAGAGTTCATCACTGCAGCAAACCTAACATGCAACACAGAGATGAAGTTTAAGGTCTGAGCGTGCTAGGTACTCTGAGTACAAATTAGATGGCATTCATTACCACCTTCAACTCAAACACCTCCAGGCACTGCAGCTGGAGCGAGTAGTAAAGGCTGCAGCTACTGGGCTGTTGAGGATAATCCTCCATCACTTTGGGGCTACTCCCAGAAATGGCAAACACAGAGGTGCGTGCAGCACATGACCTTACCTAAAGACAGGCTCCAGTGTTCCAGTCCCAAGGGGATGAAGGGAGAGCTTGAAGGAGAGGGCTGTCTTTCATAAAAAGAAGGCAAATTATGCTCCAGAAGTATAATTTGAGTGCCTTTACTTTTATTTAATTTTCTTTTTAGAAGGTGTCCTACCTTGGAAGTTCTGTCAGGGGCTTCAAGAATACCAGGATTTCATACAGCCCAAGCATACGAGCAGTTGTAGAGCTTTTTCACATGTTACGGAACAAGTACTCCAAGGTCTTTTTTAAATATCCATGGAGTCTATGCTGTGCTGCTTACAGCCGATATTAGTGATTACTTCATGTGCTAGAATGCACTTAAGCATCTCTTCATCTCTTCACTCTCATGCTCTGATGACTCTGGATTTACTCTCATATCTGCCTTACAGGTAGTAAACAAAGCCTTTTTCAAACTGACCAGTGATGGAACAGGTCAGCCGGAAGACCCCGCAGCACAGAAGGAAGATTTGGCGTTCCTGGAAGTAACACTGAACAAACCGTTCCTTTTAGCTGTTTTTGAAGAGAAGTCAAGGGCAATGCTTTTCCTTGGCAGAGTAACAAACCCACTGCATGGGGTTTAAATGCAAGCACAGGGGATGGGGAGGGAGGGGAACGATGCACATTTCCCATCACCTTTTTCTTACTCATCAGCTATTTTTATGACCTTGTGGAGTGCTCTACTTAGCTTTTGAGATGAAGCAGGTAGTGTTTTAAATACAGCCTTTTGAAAGCTAAAACATGGCAACATTTCATCCTTGTTCATCTATTTCATGTGAGGTGACTCAAACTCATTCTCCAGCTTCTCTTTTTTCCTTAGTCTCACTTTGTCTCCCCTCTGCCCCTAGCTCTCTTTTTTGGTGCAGTGGGGACAAAGTAGTGGCCAGCAAGGCATGGACTAAAAAAATAGTTTTATAAGCACAAGCAGCATTTCCTATAGAAAGGTATAGAAAAGGACCTTTTCATTCCTTGGGAGGTCACTTCTTAATTTTTAGTTTGGTCAGTTTTGCAAAAGACACCCCCTTTTAGGTTACAGTGAAAGTTTTACAGCTATCCACAGAGATTTCTAGCTTCATCAGCAATATTTTCCTTTAAAAGGCTGCCAGCAGCACAGGCAGGCTTTGCTTGTCCCACTGAGACAAGATTTTTTGCCTTGGAAGCAAAAACACATTTGAAGGAAGTTTTTTCTTTCTGCAGCCCAGATGGATATACTAATTTCTTAACTCTATGGAAAAGCTAAAAATAGGGTTTGGTAGCACTAATGAACTGTGATGGATAAATTCTCATAGCCTGACAGAATTTTTTGTTTGTTTGTTTTTTAGAAAAAAGTAATAAAATAGGCCTACTTTTCCAATACAATTCCATTCCTTGGATTACTTTCTAACCTGAGAGGCATTTATTACAGCCTTATGGTGAAAAAGAACATTACTGGTTAGAGCCTCGATTTGTAACCTTTAACATATCCAAACCATGTTCTTAAAAGACAGTATTAGTGGCAATATTCTATATTAATGGTGGATGTGCTGCTCAACATGAATAGTTTCAGTGGTCCAACCCAACTCTTAGCAGAGTTGTTAAAGATTTGAAACATTAAACAGCAACAGATTATTAGATGACTCTTGAATGAGGAAGTGAGATCATGGTACTAAGGAAAACCTCAGTGGAACAAAGATTTCCACCTCACACCTCTAGATTTGTGTTCAGCACTGATGGCATTCAGACCGTAACCACAGACCTCTTTGGGCTACAATGCCAGACGTATCCTACAGAGCACGGCAGCTTATTGTCATCCACAGTGGCCCAAATATCTAATCCAAACCCACTAAGGCCAGCGGCTCGCTATCGGTGATGTAGATCCACAGCAGATCCTTCTAGCTTAATGGAAGAAACTAATGAATAACACCACACACTCTTGAGAACACTTGGATTTCAAGTGCTACGATATACCATCCATGTATTTATCTGATTATACTGTATGCCTTCCAGATGCTTTAACATCTGAATACTGTACACTTGTATTATATACAGAAGGAATTAACTATAAATATGCACAGATGGAAAGACGCAAATAAAATCACTTCCAAGTTGCTTTGCCACAGTTCAGTTGGGTTTATGTCCGTAACTAAATCCCTTGTTCTGGCTTCTGAAATTTGTTCCAAGTCAGGTTTATGTTTTGTAAGACAGTAAGTTGCAATTATCATTCAATACAGCCAACGTAGAGCTGTAAGCATGAAAGAGGCAGCTTCCAAGTGTTCACACCAATTTAAAAGTTATCTCATTTACTGAAAGTCAGAAGGTAGCATCAGCCACAAATAAAATTTCAGACTCAAAAAGATTCCATTTCTGCGATGAAGATGGACAATAATGAAAGGGAGTCCCTGGCCCTGCTGCCACACAAAAAAAACCCCAAACAACAAACAAACCACCACCACCCCCAAAACCAAACACTTCTCTGAAAAAGAAACTTTGTGGGGGTAAGCACCTCTCCACTAACACCCTGAAGAAGAAAAGGAAAGAAGAAAGGGCTGAGATAGGGAACTACTGGCCGGAGCAAGGACAAGGAAGAGAGGTGCTGGAGCAAGTGCTACAATACCAGAAAGATAAGCTAAGCTATCTGTACATGTAGCCATTCTCCTAGAGATTCAAATGATTAAAAAAAAATATTCTATCTCTCTGCTTCCCCAAGAATATATACTCTTGAGACTAGTTTCTAACATCGACTTTACATCTAAAATTCTTATGGCATTTGATACTCTTCACTCTCTGCCAGCGGTCTCCTCCAGTTCTACCAAACTCCTGCACCAGGGATGCAGCAGGGCACCTGCCAAGCACCCCAGGAGCCGTTCACACCCGAGCTCTCAGCTGCAGCCTACAGCTCATCCACAGTCTAGTGAGTGAGGCACCTGAAATCATGCCTTAACAAACAGGAGATTTGGACAAAGAAAAGGACAGGCTTTTAAGCTTCATCAAAACAACATAGTTTATCCTGGAGCATAGCTGACAATTATGCTGATAAGCTAAAAAAATTAGGCAGTTTACTTCCTCATCCCTCCCTATCCAAGCACAAAAATATGACTGCTGATGAAAAATTAAAGTAAATATCCCTCAATATTGAGTGGTCCAGCCAAATCTACATATTGCTAGCTATCATTAGGTGATGAGGTTAAAACAGTCCAGCTTATTTCTGGTAAAACCCACAAGCTTGAGAATCCAGTTACCATTTTAGAGGAAAAAACATTTCACCACTCTTCCCCTCCTTAATGCTATTATACAAAACCTCTTCCAGCTAAATTCCTTCCAGACTTAGAAAAGCATAGTAAGTTTTCTGGAAGTCCTAGAAGGGAAGAAGAAAAAGGCACAAAATCTGCATTACTGTCATTAAGCGAAAGGCACTTCTGCATTAAAAAATAATAATTAAAAAAAATATCTGAGGAATAGAAGAAAAAGGATTAGTAGCAGAAGATATTGCTATCAGAACACACTTAGGCGGTAGATCCTCTCCTCCAGACTGATCCACTGTATTTGAAAATGTTGAAATTAATTTTGCCAATGACAAAGCCAATTCACACCTTCCTTTCAACAGGGGTAGCACACAAACTTTTAACTAATGTCATATTCCACTGAAAGAAAATTAAATGCTATTCAAGGGAACAAAAATAAAAGATGGGGAGCTGACATAAAACCAGTGATATAGATGTTTACAGCAATCACAGGGCCACTCAATAATTTTTATTTGCTATACAATGTTATTTCCTGCCCTGAAATTAAAACTGGTCTTCAATGGAAAATAATTCAGGCTGTATACTCAGCAAGTTGACGATGACAAGTAGGAAGTGGTGCGAAGATGGGGCAAATCGCATGCAACAGAAGGGCAAGTAACCTTTTTATGTCTTTTTTTAGTTTGGTACACAGATTGCATCCTTTTCCCTGATTTTGGAGGATAAAAACAAAGCTTTCTACCTTCAGTCACTAGCATGCACAGAATCTGCAACTTTTGTGACAGCCATCATAGAAATTTAGATTTATAGAGATACATACCTTTCAGAATAAGAAGTTACACAATGCATTTACAATACTACAATCTCAGTCTCAGGCTACAATTTACACATTCATTTTATTAGAAAACCTTGTTGGAAACAACAGTAGCCAGTGTTAGCAAGATGTCTCTACTCCTGACTCTTCATAAATGAAGAGATGTTGGGACACCAAGCGTTGTAGATTCATCAATTAGAAGCTTGGAAAAATAAAATACAGACAGCAGACTTCTTGTTCATAAGAAGAGTTATGTTCACTCAGCAGCGTGTACCTAAGCCCTTGGCTGGCCAAAGATCTCCACATCATCGAACGAGACAAACCAAATGTATCTGACACCTGGCAAGTTGGTTCATTTCGTTCTTCAATAAATTTGGATGTTCTCTCAACTGTCTGTTGCCATGAACAGAGAGATACTAAGCAAACTAGAAGAGCCAAATTCTGCTCTCCATTACTCAGACTGAATCCAAGAACCACCAACATAATTATAAGCAATAATTTCCCCATTGCCCTCCTTCATAAAATTAATGCTAGAAAAGTCATAATAATCACCTATCCTAATTGCTTCAAAAGCACAGTGATCACATAGTTGTGTCTTCCCAACTAAAATACAGTCAATTCTCCAGCACTGAGGAATAAAAATTTCAATACTGTCAAAGGTTTGCTCCTTACAATTTCAATGCTATGTAACAGCCACATCCTGCAAAGTCTGTATCTCTAAGTACTTGGAAGACTTGCATCATCTTTGGCTCCCCCATGAAGACCCAAGCTCTCTAAATGCCCTAGGAAGAAGTGGGTCTTTTTAATTAATAAACATGAACTTGTTTATTCCAGTGTTAAATTTTTACAGCATTAAAAAAACCCACCAAAACCCTTCCATCACTCACACAAGGCATTCTCTCATTTGAAAGCTTCAAATTCACCTCCTACTATCCCCAGACTGTGTTACCTGTTCCTCACATTTTAAAACAAAAAAAAAAAAAAAAAGCGTCAATAGGCAAGTCACTAAGTTCAACACAGGTCTTTGTTAATCCTTCTACCACTTAAAACCCTGGTAACACTTTAAAATTTCCTGCTATATAAAGATGCACCTTGTACTGAAGTAGCTATATGTATTTAGGCAAAATACTCTCCTGAATTCTAACAGGCAACATAACACAAATCAGAATTATGCCAAATCTGAATAAATTCTAGCTTAGTGAATTAAGTTCTAGTGTGAAGAAAAACTGGTAGCCTGAATGTAACAGCCAGTAAGTTAGATACTGATGCTAGAAATGATTTTTGAAATTTAAAGTACTTTAAGAGCATTCTTGATGCAGCACTTCTCACCAATAAGGTCCATGAAAAAACCAAATCATTAAAATGAAAACATTCACAACCCAAACAAGAGCTAACCATAGCCCATGATGAGGGAAAGCAGGTAAGTGCAAAGCAATAACAAGGAATAGCAGCTTCTTATTCCTGTGAGCACTCTCTTTATTCCAAAGAAGCTGGAGTAAGGTCCATTTGAAAGCTTTTGACAGCAATCAATGAATACATTTAATTCAAAAAC